ATTGCTTAGTGTGAGAACGGAGGAAGATTCTTCCCCTCCCAAACAGGAATTGGAATGGGTGGATGCAGAACAAAGGGATGGGAATCTGGCCATGGTAGGAGCCCGCTGCCCAGCATAGATCCACCTGTAAAACCCAAGCGGGAGGCTCAGGTGCAAATGGAGGGATCTACACAGGTCAGGTAACCCAGAGGAAGGCCAGATTCCCACTTGCTATGAGATGAATACAAAGGCCTAGACTACACAGCAGAAACACCCACCTGAGTTAGTGAGTACCAACCTAGAAACTCCACCTTCAGAGCCTTCTCAGTGACAACTGGTCCCTCTGTGTGTGTGAGGTTGGGGGACTGAGAGGTTTCTCTGTGCCATCACGCCCGCACACCTCTGCCTAGATGTGCCTACAATCTATGAAACTCGTGCTTTGTTGAACTAATGGAATCTTTGGTCCTTGGTTTTATGAAAGGCAATATTTTCACAATCCTGTCAACACAGACATTGGCAAATGACTTCAAGCTGGGACTAATGGCACAGGGACAAATTAAATACTAGATGGAAAACTCTATAATAATCTCTGAACTTCCCAGAGTCAATGAGCTCCAGCATCAGGCCAGATGTTGGGCCAACGAGGTGAGGTCAACACAGAGACATCAGAGGCGAGCTTAATGCAAGACATTGGCTTTGGACTGCCACACAGACAAAATCGGAAGCCGATCAGCAACTCTCCATTCTGCTGGCTGCAAAGGTGACTTTGCAAAACAAATGACTACCTGTACCACAGCCCTGAACTCAGGATCCTATTTAAAGTGCTGGTACAGAGCATCGGCCAGTGAACTGTGGGCAACCAAAGAAACTGAAATATTTTATTATTTTGAAAACAAAGTCCAAATTCTAGCTGGTTTTCCTAGATCCCAGACACAGCAGATCCCCTGCTGATGAGCCTGTGACTGCTGCCCAGATCCAGGGCCTGGGCCTGGGCTCTGCCTCCAGTTTGGCCTGTGACCTCCCTTTATTCTGGCTCGACACACAGAGTTCATTGAGGGGACACAGGGAACACATGGGAATGCCGATCATGGAACTAAAACCAACTTCAGATTGTCTACACAGTAAGACTTATATGTAAACTTTTGTTAGCATCTCTCAAGGAGTGCTGACCACAGCCAGACGGGACGATTCCAGTTCATCCGCAAGGAACCTGGGGTCCACCGCCAGGGTCCGGAGCAGGAAATGCCGTTTGTTTGGAACAGATGATGAACCAGCAGCCCTCCCTCCCCACGACCGTGTCTGGACTATGTGAAGAGCATGCAAGTGGCTCCAGAAAACCTGCCCTTGGTCCAATCTCACGGCCAAAGACAACCACCGAGGAGTCGACCTGATCCCTGCCGCCATCAACGCACCAGACTCTTCAGATCAGCCATGAGCCACAGACGCGCCAAGCCCGCCAACATGGCTGACGAGGAGGAAACAACCCGTATTACCCTTTTATTTATTTATTTTTTTGCAACAAGCTTAAGGCTCTGTTCACAAACTCCATCAAACCGCCACACAGTGAGAATTTATGGGGAGATCTTAAACTACATCCGTAGTTGCAAAGGTTGGAAGGTTTACTGATCCTAATGGTAAGGCTTATTCACAAATTCAATACATTTTCAAAGTATACTTCAAACTCAATGACTTCTAGGAAAAGAAAATTAACCTGCTCTTTCAACAGTGTAAGAGCATTATAGGAAACAAAAAGAGATCAAAAAAAGAAAGAGAAAAACAAAACAACCCATTGGCACCAAACCAGTATGCTATTTTTTTTTTGAAAGAACAAGTGATAAAAATGGAAAAGATTGCCTAAAACGCATATCCTAACTTACCACAGAAATATAAAAGTTTATATTCTGAAAATATATACTGTATTAAAGTCTGTAAGCATTTCAACCAAAATTTGCAGAAAGAACTAAGCAACACTTATCTACAACAAAAATATACATGCAAGACAACCCCCGAAGATGTTATCTACAAAGGCAAAGTGTCGATTTTTAAAGATTTTACAAAACCATTTACAGAGAATAAAATAAAATACTTAAGAAATCTCGTTTAGAGTCTTAAATACTGTGTATATTAGTGAGAGGGTCTAGACTAATATATACAATAAATCCAAGTGTCTGAACCCAGGACAAAAGCAATTCTGCATTTTAAATATTCACTTTGGAAGATTTGCAGTTGTTTATATTTGTTTCTCTTTGTTAGAAAAAAAAATCCCACAGAAACTAGTTTGGAAAATTGTGTTAATGTGACTCAATTCCAAATTTAAAAAGCTTACAAACTTTTTAAAAGTTTTCTTAAGGAAACTTAAAGGGTTTAGTTTTTTAAAATCCAACAATTAATAATGGGAAGTGCGATTCAGCACTCGGTCAAGGCTATTTTTAGATGTGGCTGTGCAGGGATACGGCCGCGTTGTTCCAAGTCCGCTGTGGCTACTATTTTTCTGACCTCATGAAACTTCATATGGGGAAAATGTATTTTCATGCTTCATGAGAACATGTCCTAGTTTAATCTATACCAAACAAGAATACTATTTTAATTCGATTCTCTAATTCCTTCTCATAGTTACCCGATTTCATTCTGAGCAAGAAATGGTGATGGCTTCTCCCCACTGACTACATTTCTGAGTGGGAGAGGACAGGTAAGCGTGACATGGCACTGGGCTGTGGCTTCCTTATGAGGAAGAGGTCTGACCGTTACAGAAGTTCTGCACAAGTCCTCTGGGAGCAGGGCTGTTAGTGCCGCTGCCCCATGAGGATGCCGCGAGTCCACCATCCCAGGCTGGGGCAGTGGGGGAAGTAGATTGTCAGAATGATCCCCGACTCAGGAGAGGGACCCCAACTTCCCACTTAGAGCTGTTCTTCCAAACCCAAAGGCATTCTGGGATGGGGCTTCCAAGACCAAGGACAATTCTTCAAAGACCTGTCCAGGCTGTAGGAAAGGATAGGTATGGGGGAGTGGGGACGGGGTCGGGGAAGCAGAAGAGAGAGGCCTTTGGGGTATGAGATAAAAACTGAAAGTCTGAGCCCATATTGAGACAGCTGTTAGGACAAACCTTGAGGTAACCACGGGCCTGGTGTTCTTCATCCCAGATCAATTTCTACAAGCCACCTGGATTTCATCTGCGGGGTGGCAAAAACAATGACCCAGAAGGTGAAAATTCCAGTGGTTCAGTGCGCAACAGATGGCGATAACTTTGAACAATTGGTGGAACTCTCTTATTGAACTGACTTGATGCAAACAGCCAAGACACAGTCTGCCTTTAAGTCACCCCGCCACGCCCAGGACCTGCAGGGTAACAGCCGTGGACTCCACCGCGGGAGGGAGCCTTCAGAGGTCTGGAGTTGATGATATGTGCAAAGTTCATACATTTCTGGTTCTTTCAGCAGGAAACAAAGACAGACATCTACATGGAGGAACCTCTACCGCCTCCCAATTCCAGTGAGAACCTGGCACTGCTTCTGTAGTGGCTGAGTGCCACCAAACCCTCACCAGAAGCTAAACAACGCCAGGCCCCTTTCTACACAGGATGCAGCCGCGGTGAGATTCTCTGCCACAACACACGGGAACAAGGTCGGTCCAAGGCTTTGGGAAGGCCGACAGGAGACCAGCCACGGGAGAAGACACGGGCCCTGGGGAAAAGCAGGTGCCGCCCCTGGGGCCACGCAGGCTCGCGTAGGCCTCCTCTCCAGCCTTGATGTTCACACCTGCCTCTTCAAACTCAAACCCAAAGCCCACCCCACTCCCTGTAGCAGATGCAGGGTCTTCAGTGTGATGGTCCAAATCAGCTGCTGGGAGCCCTGCAGCCGGGTCATGGGGACAGGGAGGCCTCCTCCTGTGACAGCTGCCTCCCAGGAGTCAACAACCAGAACAAAGACAGAGCATCGGCAGCGGAGGCAAGACAACTAAGACTCGGCAGAGAGCAGCGGACCCGGACCTCTCCCTGCCCTGCTCAGGCCCACGCCAGGACCCCTGCACACGCACACCCGGGAGTCTCTACAATACGGGTCAGGCCTTTGCCAGAGGAAAAACACTCCAGGCAGGGTGCCACCCCCAGGTGGCCTACGCCTGACCCCTTCCTGATGTCACACAACCAGGGTCGGGTGTGTTGGGGACCTTTCAGGCAGAGAAAACCCTTAATCTCTGTACAGACAGTGAGTGAAGAGGAGACTCCACCGGGATCCCTCCTAAGGACAAGGCTGAAGAGCCAGCGTCACGTGACCCCAGCCGCGCACAGAGGGCCTGCACAGAGCCGCCTCCACCTGCAGAACCCTCCTGCTGTCCTCCCTCTGAGTTGTATTTCTCGCAGTTCATTGTTAGAATGCACCAAACGGCATGAACCTCGACTGGTATTTGGTCCAGGGCAGTATGAAAATAAGATCTGTGTGAACAACAGACATCATAATATATAAACAGAAATAAATAAATAAAATACGTCCAATTAAAGAAAAAAAATTTTCCTAGTAGTTCATGTGTTTTTTTTTTTTGCAAAACTAGCTTTACATATAATACACATAAATTATCAGAATTTCCACTTACATTGTTTTAAAAATATATATTTAACAAAACATTTCTAAATGTACAATATCTGGGTTTGTAAATCACTTGGTTGGGTTTTAAGACCAAGCCCTAAGAGTCACACAGATTCGCACTGGAGAGGAGACTGAAGCCAGGTCTACACAAGCACTTGCTCATTGGTCTGTGAATTCCCTAAGATTGATCGTCCCCTGGCACAAGATGGACACTTAGCCAGAGAGAGCCGTGAGGGCCCCATCTCCAAATCAGAGGCACTGTGCAGACACAGCCTGAGTCAGAAGGATGGGGAGAGCGGCATCCCGTTCCTGGACCACGGCGGTGCATGTCAGCAAGTGGGGAGAGGCCAGCGGCACCTGGCGGAGCCCTGGGAAGACGCAGCCCTGGAGACCTCAGCTGGGAGGGGTGTGGGAGGCCCAGGACGCTGCCCTTCCCACTGTTACACAGAATCAAGCCAATGAGGACGACCAGAGGACACAAGGAAATGGACACGACCCTAGGGACAGAGACAGCTCAACAGACTCCTTGGCCAGGGCCACGCTGGGCTCGGTGGCGGGAACCCGGGGCTGAGCTGGAAGTCAGGTGCCCTGAGCGCGGGCACAAGTGAGCCGGAGCCCTTCAGACCTCGTAGATCTTGTCCTGCAGGTAGCTGAACAGGGAGTCCAGGCCTTTGGAGGAGCTCCAGAGCTGCTTGAGCATGAGGCACTCCTTCTCGTTCACGTCCTCCAGCACCGACTTCAGGAAGCTCCGCACCAGACACTTGGACTCCTCCAGCACCTGGGGAGAGGCAAGCGGTCACCCTCCACCTGCGCACCCGGGTGGCGCGCACCCATGCACCAAGCCTCCTTCAGGGGGCCTCCCAGCTCCGTGTCCCAGCACAGAGGGAAGCCGGGTGCTCAAGAGGTTGAGCCCTCTGCCCCTGGGACACCTGGGGGCCCACGGCACCCCAGGCCACAAGAGCCCCGTCTTTTACTCAGGGGTCACACAAATGCAGCGTCATTTCCTATGGATGTCACCAAAAAAGTTTGTGAAACACTGCTTTGCCCTCCCCTCGCCATGAATGGATTAATTCTCTCGATCTGTGAGGAACAGCGACACCTCACTCAAAGTCCCTAGGAACGCAGAACAGTGTCATGAAATGAAAAAACAGCCGTCCAGGCAGCCGGACCTGCCATCCAACAGCTGTGTCCTCAGGAGGCTTAGCAGGAAGAGCAGCAGCAATACTGGCAGTCATCACTGTAGTGAGGACCAGTGACAACCGCAGCCATCACACCATCATCATCACTCTCTTACATTAACACCACAGCAATTAACCATAGTGACTGAAGCCGTCAGTGGTGACAGTCACCGTGAATTACAATGACTCCAGCTACCAGTGCTGATCAGAGGTCACAGCAACGGTCCTACAGAGTAACTTCAGCCACACAATACAGTGATTGTAGAGGAGGAATCAGAATCACAGTGATGGTGACAATGATCCTAGTAATGGGCAGTAAACACCGTGGTGACAGCGGTGATCCTACAGTACTGACTCACAGAAGCCACGCTGATGCTAAGGAACCCGAGCACTAACAGTAGAAATGAGCAGCAGTCACTGTGGCGGTCACAGTAGCCATGGTGTCAACAGGACCCCGCGAACAGCGGCTCTGTGAGAAGCACTTCCCCGGGCTCCTGCCCTGGCTCCTCAGCTGCGCATAGGTCCTACTTTACCCGCCACTACAGAAGGACCTGGAGGAGGTGGCCCAGCCCAGGGGCCCTGCTGCCCAGCGATGGCACAGCAGGAAGTGGGGGGTGTGGCCACCCCCAGAGCAGTGCTGCTGCCTCCCCCCACCAGAGGTGTGGTCAAAGTGAGGCCTTCTGGCATCCTTCTGCTGGCCTCCACCAACGCCCACCAAGGTCAAGGCTTGCCTTCACACCGTCCCGAAATGCTTCCCAACAGAAAAACAAGCAAGATGAGGGTGCCCAGGTGCCAACGGCTGGGTCTCACTCCCCAGCACGGCAAGGGGCACAGGTAGTGGGAAGGGGCCGGAAGGCACTGGCCTCCATCCTTCCCAGGAGCACCACCTCCCAGGGACACAGCTTCCTGCTACGGGAAGCCTTCCTCCTGGGAATCCCCCAGAGCTCTTGGACCCAAGAGTGTTGGTGACATTGATTTCCTTGCAGTACTTCTTGTCACAGGCCTCTGCTAAGCATGTCTCCTTGGTGTCCTTTCCACAGCTCTTCACCTGAGTGTCCCCCACTGTCCCCAGGGCACAGACCCCACTCCTGACTGCAGCTCAGGCCTCCTGCCCGCTCTTGGCCTCGCTGAGGCTGGGAGCCTCTGCCCCGAGTTTCCTCTGCTGAGCCTTTCCACCAGCCTCTGGGAACCGGCTCTGGGGTGATCTCATCTGTCCGTTAGCCCAGGACGATGGGGTTCAGTGCTAACCAGAAAATGTCTCAGGCAAAGTGGGACGAGTTGGCCACGCAGACATCAGGAAGGTTCAAGGCAAATCCAGAGAGATTAGCAAGGCTCCTCTCCAGCGAGGAGAGCGTCCCCGCCACCATCATCAAGTGGATACACAGTAGGTGACGAATCAAGGGCTGAAGAGGCCGACAGAAAATCCTGACAGCTGGGTGGGGAACAGGTGGAGGGAGAAAGGAAGGGAGGTGGGGTACGGCCCCACAAACCCAGCCAACGCCCACTTCTGAAGCTGAGAACCTGGGGTCTCATCTCCCCAGCGCCCACATCTCTGCTCCAGAACTGGCCCCAGGCATCAGCACCCCCAGCCTTCCGTTCCCACCTGTCTCTCCCGTGCTCAGAACTCGGTCGTGAGAAACATCCACAATTAAAAACCGGCACCTCTGCGGAGGTGTTGTTTATCTGTTTTTCAGGGTGTCTTCAGAGGCGAGCAGCAGGTTTATACATGACAAGTACTCGGTGGGCAGAAGAAATGAAGTCAGGGACAGTGCAGCCCAGACCAGTCGCCCCTGGGCCGGGTCCACTCCCAGTCCTCTGCTGGCCGTGCTTCTGCGTTGTGCTTTGTGCTCAGGACGGTCTATGGAGTAGCACTCCACGCCCAAGTGTGACCCTTCCTTGTGAATGAAGCGTGTGACAAGGGCCTTTCCCTGACTCCCTGCCTGACTCTGCAATGCTAATCAGCCCCCCTAAGCCTGGCTGTCCTCTCTTAACAGGGGTCCACTGCCAGGGCAAGCCCCCGGAGGTGCAGGAACTCACCACGGCACTGCAGGACGCCATCTCCTTGACCCGCAGCATGACCTCCTGGCTGAATGTGGTGGGCCAGAAGACTTGGGACACCAGGCCTCTGCTGCAGGCCTCCTGGGCCGTGAGCTTCCGCCCGCAGAATAGCATCTCGTTAGCCTGAAAGAGCAAAGGCAGGGGAAGGCTGAGGACCAGAGCTGTGCCTGTGTCCCTTAGGGAATCCTGGGCTGGTTGTACCCAACTCCCTGCTCTACGAGGCAGGATCTGCAACTTGGGATTGAATACGCTGTGCAACCTGCAGGCAGACATTAGTATCTCTGAGTGTTTTTCTGAGCAGAGGGTCCACAGCTTCCATCCAGTTCTCAAAGGGAGCCATATATTTACTGAGGCCTCACCTGCCCATTACCGCTCCTCTGTTAGTGGGAACCTGCTGTGGGCAGGACCCACATGAGGGCCCACTCACCACTGCGACAGCAGTCCAGGGGTGAGGAGGTGATCTACCCACACAATAAAGCTCTTCCAGGAGGCTCCCAGCCACACATGATGGGAGGGCTCTCCCTCTCGGGGTACAGACCAACACCAGTGAGCCCAGAGGACACCCCAGCTGCGTCCCTGCACTGTGGAGACGTGAGTCCGTAAGAAAAGGAGAAACAGAGAGAGAAGACGAAAGGTGCTGGGAGTCTCGGGCCTGTCTGCCCACAGAAAGCCCCAGTTATGGACCTTCCAGCTAAGAGCACCATTGAGCTCCTCTATTTTTTTTTAAAAATTAAGCCAGTAAAGTTCTGCCGTCCCTGGAAACCAGAGCACCTTCACACTGTGGTGGGGCAGCATCTCTCCAGGGCCCAGGGCTGGCACAGGTACCCTGCAGGATGGAGGGCAGAAAGCAGCCCTCCCGGGCTGCTCGTTTGGCTGCCTCTAGAGCCCACTCTTCCGAGATTTCTTCTGCTTTAAAATTTGTGGCTGTCCAATATGGAAAGCAGCATGGAGAATCCCTGGAAAACTGGGAATGGAGCCCCATTTGACCCAGCTACCCCCCTCTTCTCAGTCTATACCCAAAGGTCTTAAAAACAGCATTCTACAGGGACACAGCCACATCAATGTTTATAGCAGCACAATTCACCTTAGCTAAACTGTGGAGCCAACCCAGATGCCCTTCAGTAGATGAGTGGATAAAGAAACTGTGGTACATATACACAGTGGAATATTATTCAGCTTTAAAAGAGAATAAAGTCACGGCATTTGCAGGTCAATGGATGGAGTTGGAGAATATAATGCTAAGTGAAGTTAGCCAATCCCCAAAAACCAAATGCCGAATGTTTTCTCTGATTTAAGGATGCTGATTCATAGTGGGGATGGGGGGCATGGGAGGATTAGACAAACTTTAGATAGGGCAAAGGGGAAGAGGGGAGGGCGGGGAAGAGAAGGGTCATGGGGGTAGGAAAGACAGTGGAATGAGACAGACATCATTTCCCTAAGTACATGTATGAAGTCACAAGTGATGTGACTCTACTTTGTGTACCACCAGAGATATGAAAAATTGTGCTCTATGTGTGTAATATGCATTCTGCTGTTATATATAACAAATTAGAATTAAAAATGGGAAAAAAATTTGTGGCTATCATACAGAGTGCCATAGTTTCAATCCTTTCTCCCTCCCTCCTTCCTCCCTTCCTTCCTTTCATCCTGGGAATTGAACTGAAGGGTGTCTTAGGTCTCACTAAGTTTCTGAGGATGGCCTCAGATATGATCCTCCTTCCTCAGCCTCCCAAGCAACTGGGATTACAGGCATTCACCAGTCTGCCTGGCTTAGTTTTGATCTTCAAAAAATCCCTAATGGGCCATGTGTCCAGTGCATGGTCCCCAGCTTGGTGTTCTTGGGATATGGCAGAACCTTTAAGAGGCTGGGCCTCGCGGGAGGTTTGGGGTCATGGGGGTGTGCCCTTGGAGGGATTATGGACCCCAGTCACTCCCTCCCTCTCTCTCTCACTTCCAGTTACCACGAGGAGAGCAGCTTTGCTCCAGCCCACACTGCCACCGGGATGTGCTGCCTTGCCACAGGGCCAAAAGCAGTGGGTCCAACTGAGCCCAGACTGGAACCTCCAGGACTGCGTGCCAGAATAAAGCCTTCCCCCTTCCTAAGCTGATTGTCCCAGGTATCTTGTCACAGCAGTGGAAATCTGACCAACACACATCGTCTGGGAGGAGCTACACGAAAAAGGTCCTGGGCACAGACCTGCCCATGGCAGTACCCAGCAGAAGCTGACAGCCAGGAGCTAATGAGGGTGCACATCTCCTCTGAAATGAGCCCCCACCTCCCTCCCGGGGCAGACAGCACCTTTCCTCCTGCTCTGCCCCTCTGCTCCTCCCGACTCCACTCACCCCGAACACTGGCCTCTCCCAGGCAGGTCTGAGCTGCCCAGCTCTCTGGCCTCTGGATCTTTCCATAAGTCTCTCCCCCCATTCTGACTGTCACTCATGGTTCCTGATGACCCAGAGGACAATCTTTCAGGCCAGTGTAGAGAAAGGTATCAGGCTGGCCATAGCCTCTGCTGTGTTCGCCAGAGGCTTGAAGACAAGAGCGTGTGGCCGTACTCAGTCCCGGGAAGCAGGAGTGAGTGAGTGAATGGATGAGTAAACTCCGCAGAAGGAGCCAGACAGAAGCAGTCAGCAAGAACTTGTCCCCCTCATTTCTGTGACCACAAGCATGGGGAGGATCTGAAGAGGATGGAGCCCCTGGCTGGGACGGAACAGGGAACGTGGTGGCCTCCTGGGCTGGAGGCCCACTGGGTCTTCTTGCCACTAGACGGTGAGACAGCACCTGGGTGGAAAGCCCGGCACCACGGGTGCTCAAGGAGCGCACAGCCTCGAGGGGGGTCATTCCACTCAGCTTGGAGGCCTTGGGACCAGCCCAGCCTCAGCCCGGCCGAGACAGAGTCTGCAGGCTAACAGGGCCCCCGGGTCTCTAGCCATAAGAAGCCACACCTTAACCTAAGACGGGGGTATCCTGCCAGGACCCAACATATCATCCCAGAAAGAGAGGCCCCTGGGAAAGGGGAGGCTTACCAGCGCCACACCCAGGATCTGGGGGAAGGTGTAGGAGGAGCAGCCAGCGGGCGTGAGGCGGATGGTGGCGTAGGGTGTCTGAAACCAGGCCTTCTCGCTGGCCCACACGATGTCACAGAGAGGCAGAATGGAGGCACCCAGGCCCAGGGCTGGCCCGTTGATGGCCACCACAATAGGCTTCTTAAACTGAATAAAGGCCTTCACAAAGTCCCTGGGGGAGAAAGAAGACCCTCTTTACCAGGCAGCCTCAGCTTGCTGAGCCCCTCTGGATGCCCCCGATTCTCCCAGGTGCTGCGATGCACACTCCAGCGGTCAGAGGTGAGCAGAGGTCAGGCAGGGCCTCATTTCTCTGGGCACAGAGGCCCTGTGTGGTGGCTGTCTCAGTTGGCTCAGGTCATGTGCAATGTCCCAGGACCGTGCCCAGCTCCCACGGCCTCCTGTCTACTCTCGAGAGTTACATCATGGACGGTGACACAGGTGGACCTGAATCCTGGGCTCCAAACCAGAACCAGAGCCAGAGCCAACAGAGGGATGTCCCAGAGACAAATCCAACAAGAAGAGAGAAAGAATGCCCACATACCCCTGGCCCAGAGCAGAATGGGGCGGCTCTGGGGGGCAGAGACCCCTGCTCTTACGGGAACCCTGCTCTGGCTCCGTGAGCACCAGGGCCAAGCTGAGGACGGAACTCCTGCTTCAGATGGTGGCCACGGGTGGGCTAGTGACATCCAAGATTCTGCACCACCTAGAGGGATGCCACCGAGGGCGATTCCATGATGCTAATGAGGGTCTACACAACCCACTGCGAAGGTGCTGGGCTGCCCACAGGCATTAGGCCTCTGGAATAGTGACCACAGGGTGTGGCAACACTCTCTCTCCCTGACCTTCTGTACACATCTCTACCTCCCATGTAGAGCCACTAGGAATGAGCTCTTCTTCCTCTGCCTTCAACGCTTTTTGCCTTCCCCTAGTTGCTAGATAAGATCTATAAACTGTTAATATTCATCTGGATGTGCAGGAAAGAGCCACAATGTCTAGTAAAGCAAGTGTCCCCCATTATTCTCAGACTGAAGACTAGAAGCTATCAAGAACTCACGAGAATAAAACCCAGCTGCTCACAACCCTGCTCTGCCCCGAAGGACCTCTCAGGCTTCTCTTACGTGGCTCCTGACCCTCCTCACTGTGCACGAGCCACAAAGGCCTCCAAGAGTTCTTGGAAATACCACTATCAATTTGCAACTACCCTACTGACTATCTGCTTTGGAATCCTTCTTCCTTTTAGCTCCTTAAGGACACCCCTATGTCTGCCCAGGGCACTGCTGGGTTTCCATCAATATTGAAATTGGTGCTCAGTGAACAGCTGTTGAAGAAATACAGGAGTCTCCCAGAAGGACAGCAAGGACTGCAGGCAAGGACTGACTGTCAACTCTTCACCAAATCCATCTCTTCTTTCTTTTTTCTGAGTCTGCTGGTAGAACACATTCCCCAGCTTCCCTTGCAACTAGGTATGGAGTAGAACCCACTTCCAAGTGCTCAGTCTCCCACCACAGAGTCCTCCAAGCCCTGCCACCCAAATGAGCACACCGTCTGGGAAGACAGTAGTGGAGCCACAGTCCTCAGTCATCTTTTGGATGACAGCCACAGGATGATCAGTGACATCTGTTTCAGGTTTACATAACCAAGAAGTAAATTTCTATCGTAGTTGAGTTATAGCAGCCAATATTTAACTAATAGAAAGTTAATGATCCTCCTGTAACTCACATCAAGAGATGTGGGTATCACACCGACATGCTGGCGTTGGAGTCTACTGTGAGATCACTTCATATTCTGCAGGATCTAGGGATGTCATATGACCTGTACCGGTCATCATGAAAGTACACAGCTTTGTACCAGGCTTGGGCATCATATGGTCTCAGTCACTGCTGGCCTCGCTGCAGCTGACCTAAAAAGACACCCCTACCAAGAGCCCTGGCACCCCGACCCCCTGACAACCGACTCCTGGCTTCATTTCCCAACCTCACAGTTAGATTTTAGTTGTGTCACTGGCTTGCTTTTCAACGGTGTAATTTGGAGTCTTCGGGGATTGGGGGTTCTTTCTAGGATCCTTGGAACCCCAGGCTTTGGTGGTTTCCATCAGACATCTCGTTCCTGTGCCAATACAATTCCAGAACAGTGGATCTCAGACTTGGGAGGACTTTCCGACTCACTGAGCCAATTCTTCTACCTGGTACAGAACTCCCAGCACCACGTCCTGAGGAAGCCCCCTCCCACCTCTGTTGAACATTTTCAGTGACAAGGGTCCGTGATGGCCACGACCCTTTGGTGGACCTCCCAGATGTCCCCATTACCTGGCTCTGCCATCTGTGCCACAGTCCTTCGGGAATCAACCCAAGCCTTCTCCTCCGAGAGCCTTTCCCTGAGGGCTCTAGAGCCTCTGAGCTCTGGGCAAGGGCATTGGGGACCGCGAAGCGGGTGCTGGGGCCCAAGCACCCGGGGCTCAGACTCTCCACCTGACAGTGCTGCTCCTGCTCACTCCTCTAGCCCTCACTTTCCTTCCTTGGTATCAAACGCCTGGTGAAGATGGCCCTCCTCTTCTCTCACCTCGGGCCACAGATCTCTATCTCCAGGGCCCCAGGGATGTGGGAGCCAGACAGCAAACAGGACACTGCATTACACGCCTGCAGCTCAGATATCTGATCTGACGGCCCGGCAGGGCTGAGCTCACAAGATGGCTTGCCATCTTCCCTGTTGCCAGGGCCATCAGGCTGACCCCGGCCTTTACAGTTTCTTCTGCTCAGCGCAAGCCCTGAGCTGCTGCCTGACCGGCTGCTAGGCTGCTCTGATGTGGCAGAAGGGGAAGGAATTCAAAATTTGAAAGACATGGGGTCAAATATCAACTCTGCCCCCTAACTGAACAGTGGACAGGCTGCCAGGTCTCCTCAGGAGCCTCAATTTCTCCCTCCGTAAATTGGAAACACCTATACTGGCTCCCCATGGGGCTGTGTCAGAATTAAAAGACCAAGCCCAGCCCACACACCCTAAGGGAGACTCAAGGCAAACTGCTCGTGGGATGTGCGGATGTCACCCAGAGCACTGGCATTTCTTCTGTGAGCCATCGACCACTCTTTGACCAGAGCCCTGAAGGCAGCTCCTTTACTGCCAAGTAGTCGGGCTCCGCGCAGCTCTGACCCATGGCTGAAGGCCTAACAGAAATGATGGTGACTCTTCACGTCTAATGCTCTGGGCTTGGTAAGGGCCAGGAGCGCTCGTGCAGGGAACCTGATTGCTCTTCAGCGGGCAGCCCACCAGGGAGGCCAGGGCCATCATGTGATGATTCCCATTTTCCACAGGAGCCAGTGGCCTTAGTGAGACGGGAGAGGAGCTGAAGGCCCCACCACTAGCAAGTGTCCAGGTAGCTGCCTCCGCACACCTTGTGGGTGCCACTAGCCCATGCCACCTTCCTAAACCCCACACTGGACAAGACACCACACCATCCATGCCAAGTTCAGGTGAGGGCAGCCTCTTTCAGGATGGTCCTGGGGAGAGGCTTCTGGGAATGGACCACATCTGCTCCCCGACCGACCTCTGCTAGTCCATCAAACACCTGCAGAGTGAGCCAGCACCGCCCTGAGTGCTTGCTTTCCTTAGGCAAGGAGGGGGAGCGGGTGGGAACACTGCTCAGGAGATGTCTGAGCCCCGGGTCAGCCCTGCAAGAGCATGGGACAACCGCCAGGGACGTCCGCAGGTCATGTGGAGAAGAGGCACAGCTCCACGTCCAGATGTTCCGCCCTGCTGGACTGTGAATGAAGCTCTTGCACACGACATGGCTGGGCCTGTAAACACGTCATGCACCTGGGAACCCGCAGGAGCTGGGCGGGACTCAGCTCAGCCACAGGCCCTGCCCTGGAAGCCCACCCACCAAGAGGTCCTGGGCTCCGGGGGTGCACTCCTGAGTGGGAGCCTGAGACTCCTATCTCGAGCGGAGTCTGACAGTCCCTCTGTGGCCTGAACACTCATCTCCGTGCGGCCACACTGTCCGCCCTGGGTCTCTTCCCCCGTGCTGAGGCTGTCAGTCTTGCCTCCTGACACCCTGACTCCTCCTTCTGCACCTTCCACTCCTCACAACCACCTTTTCCGTCTTGTCCTTTTGTCCCTCCTTCAGCACTCTCGAGCCCTGTGTAGAAACCTCCTGGTCAGCTGCACATCACAGCGGGGGGGACTCTGCCACAGCAGGGGGCTGCCAGGCAGCTGGGTTTGGGAAAGGAGCCCTCCTGCCTCTCCATGCTCTGAGGGCAGGGAACAAGAGAGCCAAGGGATGTCCCCTGTCCCCCTCCACAGCCCATGAATCAGCCCCCGCTCCCCCTGAAGCATGAGGAAGAGGCCCCTGTGCTGCCTCAGGCCTGGCTCCGCGTGCAGCTGGCTGCTGAGACGGTGAGGTCTGTCCCACTAGAGGTGCCTCTCCTTGTGTGCAGGGCCCTGCTTTGGGGCTCCCTGGGTTCCCATGTCGAAGCCAGTCCAGGACCCAGACCCCGGACTCGTCTCCACTGCAGCTTCCTAGGGCTGATGTCTCTCATCCCTTTTTGCCCCTGACACCGCCACCTCCCTAGATTGGGTTCCCAACTCTCTAGAAGGGTGTGGGTGTCAGTCCTGTGGCCCTGAAGGGGAGGCTATGGGGAACAGGAGGCAGGGCCACACCCCTCAGCCTTAACAGATCTAGAGGCAGATGCAGGGGGAGGCTGGGGAGAGGCCGCTGTCCTCACTGGTGGTGAAAAGCTGCAGGGGTGGGCGAGCATGTGGGGGCTCCAGCCTCCTGGGGCCCCTATTTCTGTTCAGGTTCCCTGCCCACAGTGACACTGCTGCAAGTCCCTGTTCCCATGTGTCCTGGCACCACCCCACAACCCCACTGGACAACCTCATCACATCCACCACGACTGACAGAGGCCACGGTGCGACAGCTGTCAGGGATCCCCTGCTAACAGACCCCACCAGCAGATAAGCAGGGCGCCCTGGAAGGAGTGGCCTTGGGGTGCCAGAGTGGAGGTGGGCATGGAGCTTGCCTGAGAGAGAGCCCAGGTGATGGGCAGGACCTTCTGAGATGTGACAATTTCCCCAGGAGCGGCAGTCTCCCAGGGCTGCTGCACGGCCACCACACACAGGCTCCAAACAACAGAAACCACTCTCCCTCCTTGTGGAGACCTGAGTCCCAAGCCTGGGGTGGGCAGGCTGGCTGCTCCTGTGGTGCCGGCCACCTGAGCTCCTTGGCTGGTGATGCCTCCCTCCCTCTCTGCCTTAGGCCACCTCCTCCTGCTCACTCTGTCTCCTCTCCTAAGGCCATTCTCTGGGGGTGGATCCACTCTATTCCAGGAGGACCTCATCTCAGGACTTACAACTTCTGCAAAGACCCTTTTTGCAAGTAAAGTCACATGTGCAGAGTCCGGGATTTGGACTGGATGTGGGTGTATGTTTTGGGGACGGCATGAGGTTTGCTTGCTCTGAGCAGAGCGTGCGTGGAGTGACAGCCAGGGACAAGGTCACAAGAGTGACAGCCAGGGACAAGGTCACAAAGGTGCACCCAGGCGTCTGGAGATCCAGTGGAGGCCTTGACGGCATCACACCCAGACCAAGACTGAGCCAGGCTGGCAGGGGGGCGCTGGGTCCCCTGAAGTGGGTTCTGTTGGCCACGACTGAGGCGGGAAATATCATGGGGAAGCTGCCGGTCCCCCCAACTCAGCAGAAGCCAGTACTGAGTCCAAGCAGAGAACACACTGTCTGGGACTGGGGCTGGCTGTGCTTTGCAGGCCTGGGGCAGCACAGAGCTGGCGACCAGGCTTCCCGATCCTCTGGAAAGCATTCTGCAACAGGAAGCACGTGGTGCTCTGAGCAAGGGCACCAGCAGACGCTCCCTGGAGAGGGACGCAGGAATGAAGAACACAGGCACACGCGCTCCAGTGTCGCCTGCTGGAGAACTGCTCCCCCAGGCCCCTGTCACACACAGCCTGTGTGACGTGGCCAGACTGCAGTGAGGCTGGAGGCCGGAAAATCCCCCATGTACAGCCCAGGCTCAGGATGAAGTAAGTGTCCCTTCTGAGGAGACCAGGGGACATGACTAAACTGTGTCCCTGGTCTGTTTCCCTGAGCCAGGTACAGCAGCGAGCCCATCTGCCCTTGCTGAGTGGACGCTGAGGGTTGGCTGCAACCAGCTCAGCAGCCTGGCTAGAAGTCACCTCACTGGCTTTTGACATATTTACAAAGAATGGGGAAATGAGCAAACTCTGTGTCTCAAAGGGGACACCGATGTCATACTAGGATCCCAACTTTACCCAAAGGCAATAGAGAGGGGAACGCTCCACTCCACAGGTCTAAGGATGCTCAGCTGCCCAGAGCACCTGCCCCACCCCGTCAACCAGCCATCTCAGGTCCAGGACCCAGGAATGTCCAGACAAGCAAAGCAGGGACCTCCAGGAGGAGGAGAGTGCCCACCACACGGGCATCAGCCGACACAGGCCTCAGTCGGGAAAAAGTCTCCTTCTGATCAAAAGTGGGATCTGACCTGGAGAGCAAGGCAGGACTAGGGCTGCACATAAAACCAAGATAGCCCATTAAAACCCAAATTTCAGATAAATAACCAATAATTTTAAACAGAAGTAGATCCCAAACATTGCATTGGCACAAACTTATGCTAAAAATATGTTCCACTGTTTGACAGTCAAATTTAACTGGGCAACCTGTACTTTTTTGTCTGCCTAATGTGGAAACCTTAGAACCCCAAGGTGTCCCCACAGGAGCAGAACTTACCTGATGGCTTCTGCAATTCGAGTGCTCTCCTTCCGCCGGTCACTGGACAGCCGGCCAATCAGGTAGGAGTAGTCCAGGCCACTGCAGAACACGCTCCCCACCGCGCTGAGCAGCAGCAGCTTGCTGTCGTCTGTGGCCGCGTTGCACAGTGCTCGCCGGACCTCCTTCATGATCTGCAGGCAGAGGTGAGGGGGCAGGGATGAGTGTCCGCCCTGGAAGCCGGACATCGGCCCTGAGGCCAGAGGTGAGCAGACCTGATCTGCCAGTGAAGGGAGTCTGCCCTGAACACTAGCAAGGCCCACACCGAGGAAGGGAATGCTTATCAGACCCAAGCCTCCTGACTCCGTTCCTGAAGCACGCAGAGGAGTTAATAAGGAGCCTGTGGTCACTGGCTCAGACCAGGGAGACGGGCCGGGTGCCGGGCAATCCCTGGTAAATCTCTACAAATCCTCTTCTGGCATTTGCTAGTTGAGCCGTTTACAAGGTGTGGAAAAATAGCTGCGTGCAGCCCAGGTGAGGTCGGCAGCCTCTCTCCACGGCTCAGTTCAGTTGGACTCTTGTCCGTCCTGAGTTCAGCCCAGAGTCTCACAGTGCCTGTGGGTGGCTCATGGCAAACAGGCTTTGGCATCAGAGCTAGACCTGGGTTCAAGTCCTATGGAGTAAGAAAACCTGCTGGGAGCCGTGGCTCTCCCATGTCCCAGGGACTTGACCTGAGACACACGGAGAGCACTTGGTTCCTCTTCCATGGGGAGGACCACAGCACCCACTTTCAAGGACCAGAGTGAGGACTGAAGGAAGCAGAAGATGCTCTGGCCACCTGCAGGCTCCATTCCTAGGAGGGATGGTGAATTCTAGATCAAGAGCCTTCCGTTCCTCCCCTTCATCCACTAAAGGGGCATTGCTTGCCCAGCCAGGCTGTGATTTTAATATGGACAAGAAGGACGGCTCTCTCACTCCCACCATATTCTCAGAGCCTAGTATGATACCTGGCATACAGGGGGCACTCAATCATTGCTTGCTTCATTACATAGCAATTCTCGCACAGCACCTTTCCAAGCCCCAAAGAAAAAGATCCAGGTTGCTCTCCCACACCAGGAAGCCCTGAACACAGGTGAGGCTGCCTCTGGTCTGGATGTGAGGTGTCCCCAAGAGCTCATGTGTGAGACAATGCAAGATACCTGGGTCATGAAAGCTTGGCCCACTCAGTGAATTAATCCCCTGGTGGGGATAACTGAGTGATAACTGAAGGTGGGTAGGGTGTGGCTGGAGGAGGTGGGATCTGGGGCATGTCTTTGGGGTATATATTTGGGATCTGGTAAGTGCAGCCTCTCTGCTTCCTGATCATCATGTGAGCTGCTTCCCTGCACCACCCTCTTCCACCATGACGTTCTGCCTCACCTCGAGCCCCAAGGAATGGAGCTGACTGTCTAGGAACAGACTCCTGAAACTGTGAGTCCCTAAATAAACTTTTCCTCCTCTAACATCATTCTGGTCGGGTCTTTTAGTCACAGCAGCGAAAAAGCTGACTCTGGCCCTCTGGCTGATGATGCCCTCCCAGGAACAGGGTCTGGCTTTTGGAGCAGCCGGGTATGAGCTCTGCAGAGCACAGGGAGAGCAGAGCTTATGGTGCAGCCAGACTCGGAAGCCGACCCCTGCCACATGCATGCTGGCCACACAGGCCAGAGCGTCATCCGAGACTCAAGTCTGGACTCTGGGTCAACTGACCCCAGCAGCCCTTCACATTTTCTGACTCCTTCCAGTCCCACTCCTGCAGCAGACGCGTCCACCCCACATACACCATTCTTCTTGGGCACCCAGGAGTTTGGGGTGAGTCCACACGGTCATGTGGCCAGGCTGCTAGAGTCCTAGATGTGGAGACAGACAGCTGTGCTGATCCACGCCACCAGTCACCAGCACAGCTTCTCTGCCACCTGTTCCCCTCCCCACAGTCAAAGACGAGGCTCAAACAAATGATTTACCTCGGCTATGGGAAAAACCTCCTGTGAGAACCTGAAACTCCAAGCCTGCTCTGCATGTGGACCTGAGGTGCTGAGTGATCACGTCCACCCAGGAGAGAGATCTCCACCTCAGAAAAATTAACATGGAAATTGGACTCGGCTGCGGCAACCCTGGGGTATCCCATCAGAACGAATGTCAAAGTCCTCTGGAGAGAACAGAAACCAGGACTGCCCGAGGACTGTCCAGGAAAACAGTCCCTGCCGAGGCTGAGCTCACGACCGCAATCCCACAGCACTCGAGGGGACACAAGTCTGCACTCCGCGGACGGGAAGACGACTGTAAGTGACACCGACCTGAAAGAGACACACCTGAAAACACTGGGAACCAGAAGGGAGAGGAAGGACACGAGAACAACAGAGGAGGAAGAGAAGACTGTGGGAAACCAGACTCAAAGAGGAAAGGCTTCCAACAGTGACAAACTGAGGGAGGGAAGGGAGGGCAAGTGACCTGAGACCTGAAGTCACCATCCGGCACCGAGACGTCACGGGAGGGTCACGCCCAGCATGGCAGGCCCAGGAGACTGGAGACCAGGCTGCAGGGTTCTCTCAGGAGGTCACAGAGGACAGGGCAGAGGCAGGACCTTAAGAGGAAAAGCGGGAGCCAACCCGGGCACCGCTGCACTCCGCCCAGAGGCTGGCGCGAGCGTCCACTTCCCTGCCTTCTCCAGCAACCAGAGGTGGCCGCACTGGCTCAGGCCCTGCCTCTTCCCCAGAGCCAGCCCGGCAGCACGGTCCTGCTCACGCTCCCTCCTGGCACCTCTCGGAGAGCGGCTCCTCTCCTCCCTGGATCCACTGGGCCCTCCAGGAAGTCCAGGTAATCCTGCTCCCTCCATCTCAGCGCAGCTCATGAGCAGCCCAGGTCCCTCTGAGACCTTGACTCCACGCCATGTAACCCGAGTTCCTGAAATCCAGGAACTGCAGACAGTGAAGCAGAAGGAAGAACGATGAAGGGAGAGTGGGTCTTCGTGACACCGAAGACAAAGCGAAGCTCTCATGCATCCAGGCAGAAAGCTTCCCTCCCCAGGGCCAACGTCTGACAGGAGGCCGAAGTCCAGGGAGGTCACACCACGTCCTTTTGAAGGTGCAGAGAAAGAACGTCGTCAGGCTCTCCACCCAGCGCCAGCGCCGCTCAAGGGCAGGGGTGAAGATTAGCCTCTGAGTCACACACCCCACACCCCCCAAACTGTCAGAGATGTCCTTCAAGAGGAAAACTAGGTGCAGAAAGAAACGCTGACGTCTGCCCTGGCCTCTAGGGGAAAAGCGCGGCGTGGCCTGTGCGCTTGTGCTTGCGTGGATATTTGCAGTTTTCCGCGCGCTAGGCTTTTTCTTCCCCCCACCCCGGCCGTAACCAGAGTTGTCTGTTGCCTCCTTTTTTTTCTTGCCCCAAATCTCACAGTCGCCAAGACTTGGAAGAACCCGGAGATAAAAGCGCCTTGCGTGTGGCAGAGAAAGTACCTTCACAGACATTGTTTTAAATCTCTCTCACAAAACCCTGAGAGGCGGCCTTTTGGATTACCCTCGTCTTAGAGAAGGAAAGGGTGACGCAAACTAAGTGGCATAGAGGGGAAGAAGATGGCGGCGGGGAGTGAGTGAGCCGCTCTGTGCTCCGCGCCACCGCA